GTAAATTTGGCAACCACATCCCCACAAATGTTGCAATAAGCCAGCGTCTGGCTGTTGCTGTGTGTAAGGGAGGCAAATGCCTTGGCTGTGACCCATGGTTAAAACTCAGGAGCAAACCATGTCACAGGCCTATCTGTACTCGTACCCTTGGGGTTACATCAGAAATATAAAATGGGATTAAACACCATTTTCTGCAGATATAGTTTCCTATAGACAATCTTTATCTGTGCAGGCAAGACTATACTGAAAGGTCTTATCTCTACCACCCAGGGCTAACACCAGCCAGGTGGCCTACCCATCATGGGCTCTCCTGGCCCTTCCATGGTCTCATTTCATCAGGACAATTTCTCCTCTCCTAACAACTCCCTAGTTGCTAGGAGATTGTTTCCAGATCTTAGGGCTTACTCTTTGTCCTTGTCTTATTCCAGACCACAGCAGGGTTTACTTTCCCTGTCATGAGTTTGCCAGGAGCAAAAAGTAACATCCCAACCTCCTGTCAACTCAACAAGAGATTTATTACAATTAACTAAAAGGACACTTGTTACTACAGGAATACCATATGCTTCAGCAAAGCTACGATCCCAGCTTGTGGCTGGCCTTCGCAAACAGTCAGGGTCTTGCCAACATAGTTTTTTTTTTTTTCCTTGCTTGTACGGTCATTAACAGAGCTTCATCCAGTGCAGACTCAAGAGTGTTTCCAAGGTATAGACTCGGAGGCTGGTCTACTTAGCTAGTGAGGTCATCTACAGGGCAGTAGCTCCAAACTGACCACGATAATCACAACAGGTTTTTTGATTGCATTGATGGTCCCCCCTTACATAATGGCCACCCTCCTTTTCTTCCTCACCAGAATCCTAGGTATTTTGGGGGCAGCACTAATCTCAGCTAAAAATACTACATTTCCTAGCCTGTCTTGCATGGTCAGAGCAGGGACTCTCGAGGTGAAGTCCCTGCAGATTTTTGAGGAAGTTTTTGCCTTCTTCCTCATTCACTTCTCTCTGGTGTTTGGCTCTGGTGAAGGTTAATTTGAGTCCATGTTTATTTGCCATACTTCCCAGGTATTAATTATATTCAAAGATTCTGAGACTTCTGAAAGTCTGATTTCTAGTCAATAAGGGAATTCCTGCGTATGCACCAATTACTTTTTAAAAATTGACTCATAGTTCGATGCTAAATACGGTAAGTGAAAATGATTAAACATTTGCACTTTTTCAAAGTTAGTAATTCAAACAAAGGAAAATATGGAACTAGATACTAAGAGAAAGATCAAAAAGTTTGATCTTTGCAATTTATAAAGGGAAAGCACTACTTTTGTTACAGTAGGGAAAAAATGAACTCAAAAGTTGCTATATTTAACTGTATCCCCATTTATCTCTGCAAAATGTCTTTATCTCAATGTCTCAATTCCCTTTGCTTCCTTTTCACACCAAGGTGTTGAGTGAGAAATATATCAATATATCAAGTTGACTGATTGTTTGACATATCTGACTGGGGGGGGGGCTGCTACACCACCCCCCTCTCTCTTTTTGACTCTGCAGCGTTTACGATAGCAGAAGGTACATGTGCCCAAAGTCAAGTGCATCAGAATACTTAGGATCCAAATGTTTGCTGAGGATTACTTGTTTTAATGGAATAGAATATAGTTTTGTTAAATCCTTGAAATGAATAATCAATGAATCTCCCTTATTGTGAAACAAAACAATCCCAATGATTGTAAACCCAAGAAACTAACAGAGAAGCACTCAAATATTTTGTACAAATGTATTTATTTTTCAAACTCCGGTATTTTGGTGAAGTACGCTTACAATCTAAATACCTGCTCCCTTTTTACCTTTACAACACACCATTTCAACCTGTTAGTTTATGGAATGAAGGCCTTAGGGGAAATCTTCATTCACATTCCCATAAACAAAATAAATTTTTGTCTCTAGGATCAATCTAACTGGATTTGACAAAATCCTCATAGAGACTCCAGTCTTCGTAACAGACACAGAAGAGGATCTTTCATTATCAACAAATTCCTATTGATACAGCCAAAAAAGTTAAATTACCCAAACACATTTTTCGAGATTCTATTATGTGCCAAGTATTGTTCCAAAGTACATACTCTTCCTTCGATGTAAAGCGGGCCACTGAAATAACTTCAGAAGTTTGGACTTTGATTTACTCAAAATACAGGAAAAGTTTGTTTCTAAAAGTGCCGGTTGTATTTCTAGGGACTAGCTCAGGCATTGGAAAAATATAATTTAAACTTAAGCATTAGTAAAGATGGAGTTAGGGAATCGTTGTACCTTTATGCATAACACAAATGGCTATGTGAAGTACATTCTGGTGATCGAAAATGCTAGCGTCCATGCAAGGCAGTGTAGGAAGTGACACCAGATTAAAAAGATACCAATATCGATTTCAAAACAGACCGAGATACACACTAATTGCAATTCGTAGAAAAAATAAATATACAAAAACACCAATTCCTACCTTCCCTACCCCCAGTGCTAAAATTATAATTCTTCAGACACACTGCCATCATTGGGAAACATGGAGACAGACCGGGTAGAGGCATAACATATTAAATAATTAAACAAAACACCAAGTTTTTTATGTGTGGTCCCAAAGACTAATCAACTTCTTTTTCAACATTTACAGTTATTCAGAATAGAAATTGAAGAAATCATAAGTATTTTCTTAGACATAGCTGACATTTTTTTTTTTTTTTACAGACTTCAAAGTGAAAATATACTACAATACCACCATAAGACCAGCTATTTTGCTCATCTCCCATAAGACCTAACTTGGTGAGACATCAGGCTTCCAAGGTCTAAGTTCTTCCTTCATATGCCTCTAATTTTTTTTTTTTACTTTTCCTGAACTAAATAGGTTCTCTTTCCAGGTCAAGTGCTATCTTCTGGCAAAGTACCTTCAGGATAAATATGCTTTATCATTTATATATGCCACATTTTGAGCCTCCATTATAAACTCAGCTCCTGGTTTCTCTATTCAGAATTCTCCGCACTTACTTAAAAGGATCGCTTGAAACCCTAGAGAAAAATAAATCTTCCCTACAGAAGAGAAACTTATTCAAGAAAAGCAATGCTATTTCCAGTTCATGCCCTGCCTTGGAAAGTCAAACTCACTCTCTTCCCTTGAAAAGAACATCAGTAGTCTCCCATTCAGAAACTTGCTATTTTTACTATTTCTCAATGTGATGATTAAATAATATTCAATGCAAATAACAACTGGTAATTAAATTACAAACTTAAAATAAATTAAAAAAATACATGGACGGGCGGTTTCAGAGAAGGTAATAGATAAAGGTCAGTTCACATTCCTTTCTGTACCAGTTTCTACAATGAGTGGGCAACACTGCCCTCTAAAGGGTTTATTCTGTTACGTCCTTTAGTGCATTTAGAGAGAGATCAGCCCCAGGGTGAGTTCTCTCCGGCTCCCATTCACACACACACAATCTCACACACATACACACACACCCCTTCTTTGGCTTCTGGGACACAACCTATCCTTGACCATCTGTGTATGACTCAGAAGACTCTGGATCCCCTAGAGAGGCAGTGATATTTCATGAAGGCTCATTGAGGAGATCAAAAGGTAACATTTGTTGCAGTGATTTTCAAACCTTACTGCAGGCTCAGCGCCTATAGCTCAACCGGCTAAGGCGCCAGCCATGTACTAAGGTGGCAGGTTCGAATCCCCAGCCCGGACCCGCCAAACAACAATGACGGCTGCAACCAAAAAAAATAGCCAGGCGTTGTGGC